GTGTCTACCTAACATTTCCTAATTTTTTCCACTTTCCTCTATCTTGTGCCAATATGCTCAAGTAGTGCCACATCTTTTTGGCACATCGTTATTTGAATAACACACCAATAGAGTGAGCCATTTGCGTTTTGCTGGAATGTGATAATTTCTGCATTTCGTGGCATAAATTACTTTTTTAAAAGTGTTGGATATTGCCGCACAATTACGGTACTGCTTGAACATTCACATCCCAGGGTGTACTGAACTCGCCACGTGAATCACGCTGTGTGGGACTTGAAATAAATGCTTCATTGGACATGCCAGACCGCACAAACCTGAGGCAGTGTGCAGCATCACAGACAAGATTCTCCATACCACACCTTGTTTGAAAAACATGACGGAATCCAGTCTGGGATGCTTGTTTCACAAAAATTACACAATGTGTGGTCAATTGTAATTCAACGTTGACGACAATGTCTCTGGCCAATACGTGAAAAGAGTCTGCAGTTTGCTTAAAATGTGGTTCCTTGAAACGCAACACAATCGTGGTGAGCGTTGCTCGGAAGAACGTACCAACATTATCACGCAGCAGACAACACACGGCCTCTCTCCATCCCACGGCCCTTACGACCCTTCACATCAGCACGTGTCTCACGCGTACACAACGTCCCGAACCAGCCACGCCGGTGCACTTCTGCGGACGCAATCGGTGACTCAACCACAAGTTCAATCTCCGGTAAACGCATTCCACGGTCAGGTGTCTCTGATCGACGGTCAGCTTTGCTTGAGCCAATGATGGGAACCTGAAGGATGACCTCAGCGGTGAGGAGCCGCCGACTTCTTGCCACCACCACCCCCCACATCGATGTCCCCCGTACGAGGCGGATCGTGCCCACGACTCTCTCGCTGCGCGTGCTCCGCATAGAATTGGGTGAGAGTCCCGTGGTGAAGTTGTTTGTAGGGTAAACGTGGCTTCTGCGCCCGGGATCACATTAAAGAAGAGGAGAGAGAGAAACCTCCCCCCCCCCACGCCAAGCATGCGGTCAACAAACAGCGCTACGAACTCAAGTCGCGCATCGCATCAACAAGTTCCTGGTTTCGATTTGTACGTTCTCCTCCACCTCTACCCCCTGTTCTGCACTGCTTTTCTCAGGGTTCTCCGATTAACTACCATAGCTGTAATAAATGAAAACATCCTCGCGATTTTCATGTTGGCCACACAGATCCCAACGCTGAAACAATAAACTGCACATGTCCTCGCGATTGGGATCACACGCAGCAGCAGCAGCAACAACAACGCAACGACGAAGCGGGCAACTTCCTTCGGAGACGTGAGACTCGGCGAGCCTTTCGCGAGTAATCAATAGTTCATTTAGTTCATCGTTTCATTTATTTTGGTATAGCCCTGTGAGCCATTCGGCTCTTGAATCGGGTGCAACAGCAACAACTCCGAACGGCGACAAATCAAATCGTCTTCTCGGTTCTTTCGGTAAAGTCACCGCGTTAAGAGTGGAAATTAAACAATACAAATGAAACGTAATGAAATAAAATTATCACGACGTTTCGGTCACACACAAACACAAGTAGCCTTGTAGTAGCCACAAGTAGCCTTGTGTTTGTGTGTGACCTGTCGTCCCGACAGGTTTGTTCCTTTCACCTGAAGAAGGCCACTTGTTTGTGGCCGAAACGTCGTGAGAATTTTATTGTTTTATTTTATTATTTTATTCTCATTCTACGTGACTTTACCGAAAGAACCAAAGAAGAAGGCTACTTGTGTTTGTGGCCGAAACGTCGTGATAATTTTATTTCATTACGTTTAATTTGTATTGTTTTATTGTTCCCATTCTTACGTGGTGACTTTACCGAAAGAACCAAAGAAGATGAATCCCTGCAGTCACGAAAGCTATAAAATCGAAAACCAAATCGTGGTTTGCGAGCCAAGCCCGCCTCGACTGCGAGCCGGCCTGGCTCTGGCCTCGAGGTCCCCCCCCCCCCGGGGCCGCCTGCGACCCTTCCGTCAGCCACAGGCAACGTGGCCCTGGGCAATCCGCCCACCACGACCGTCTCCTCCTCAGCGCCAAATGGAGGCGTCTCGCAGCCACAACTCTACCGGAGGAGCCGACCCCGCGCGCCGCCTCCATCGTTCGCGAGGCGGCAGCGACAGCAGCGACGAACGCCTCTCCCGCCTCCTCTCTCTCTCCGTGGCGTCACAGCGCAACATGACGTCACCGGCCTCGTTTGGCTGACGTGATGTCACCGCGAACGTCATAGCGTGGCATGAAGACGTCACCCGGCCTAATTTTGGTCGAAGTGACGTCTCAACGCGACATTTACGTCATGGAGCGACACGACGTTGCCCGGCCCTCATTTGGCCGAAAAGACGTCATCGCGTAACATTACGTCTCAGCGCGACACGTTACGCGGCTTCATTTGTCCCCAGTGACGTCATCGCGCGCGCGCAAGGCGCCTCCCAACCCGTCGTGTCGGCGAGCGGTGATGGATTGACGCGGGATGATGCAGACGGGGGGTGGGGGGGGAGAGGTTTGTGATGGACGGGTTTGGCAGATCTTATTTATTCACGATGTACTTACAAAAAACAATCCGCAGACTAACTGCTGGATCCCTTCTCTGTTTCAAAGAACAAATTTGACCTCAGGTCTTCGCTCATTTACCAGCTTCACATTCCCTATTGCCATACAAAAACTGGAGGAAGGGCCTTTGCTATTGATGCCCCCAGGGTCTGGAATGATATTGCCAATAAACTACAACTTGAATCGCTACCAATGAGATCTTCTCTCAAAACTGCTCTAGAGGAGTTGTACACCACTAGCTGCCACTGCTATTCATTGGCGTAAAATCAAATAAAATGTTTCACTCCGGATGACGCAGCAAAGTATTATCTGTATTTTGATTTAGCGTGCTGATCCTAAAGGTGCATTTAAAAATTTGATACTCCGACTGATGCATCTGTTGTTGTGGAGTAACTCATGCAGCCAGCTATGGCTCTAGGATTTGGTGTCACATGTTATTTATGTAGTTTATTGTAAAAATTCCGTCACAGTCCCTGTGATCACTGTTACGTTGCAATTATGGCTTTATTTTTTGATTTCGAAAACGTTTTTTGGTTTGGACATGTTTGTTTTGTTGTAGTACGGAGTTAGACTGATGGCCTTAATCTAAGTTTTCTTGTGGTTGTTGTTTGACTTGCATCCCACTGGGATTTTTTGCACACAGCGTTGGTGTACGGTGCTTTTTTCAGGAATATTTTTCCTGTTTTTTTCATGGATTTTCTGTTTGCACAGTCACATCAGTCACTTTAAGATGCTTTTCTTGTTCGTGATTTTGTTTGTTGTGGTTGCACCCGATTCAAGAGCCGAACGGCTCACAGGGCTATACCTAAATACATAAATAACTGGAAATTGATTCGTGCCTTCCGTCGTGCTCACGTGGTGACATCACAGTCACATTGCGGCGAGTGGCAGATGTTGAGTGATGCTGTTGATGCGATGAGTGACAGATGAGCCCTCGTCTCACCGAGCTCACCGGTCCTCAAACTCGGTCCACTCCCCACGTCGCTCGTCGCGATTGCGACGAATGCCGGCGTGGTTTGTGAGCGAAGTGCATGCTAGGGGGACGTCCATAAATGACATCACGCACCTGGGGGGGGGGGGGGTCAGACATTTATGACGATGTGTGACGAGGGGGGGGGGGTTGAGAAATGTGACGGCACATCAAAATGGGCAACTTTAAATCAATATAGACAATACGTTCTACTTAATTAAATCGACTTCTTAATGTTTTCTCCTACAATATCAGAGTGCAGCGCCACATTAATGACAATAGTTTTAAACGATTTGAAGCATGTTTTATTTGGGGGGGAAGGGGCAGAGCGTTGTGACGTCATATTTGAGGGGGGGTCTGACTTTTGTGACGCCGTGTGACGAAGGGGGGGGGGGGTCAAAAATCGTCCAAAATCGCGTGACGTCATTTATGGACGGCCCCTAGGTGGCCACGCCGCACGTGGCTGCTGCCCGGTGGAGGCAGCAGTGAGGGTGGATCACCACGCAACTGTGGCACGACTCCGTACCGGTCAACCCATGCGGTTTACCGCGTATTCTAGTACGGGGAGAATGTAGTTTTCGGGTCCATCCGGCGTACAGCCGTTGCAATACGGGCAAAATAAAGTTTTACCCCCCGTGATTGGACTTTGTAGGATGAACGTCGAGATTTATAATGGTACAGGGTGACCAATCAAGTTTGAATTGGTCTCTAATAAGGTAGGCACTCATATTCTTGGTTATTTCGGTAAAGTCACGTAGATAGAAAATAAAAATAACAAAATTAAATTAAAATTTCAATTTATTTTTAATTACGTTTTATTTTTTTTCTATCCACGTGACTTTACCGAAAGAACCAAGAACATGAATTCCAGCAGTCAAGAAAGTTTTAAGTCTCAATTTAAGGTAGGCACTGATAAGGGGCTGACAGGAATGCAACTCCCTCATACCAGTGGGCATCCAGGTGCCATAGCCCGACTCGCCAGGAGAAGGAAACGGAGCAGGTGGACTCATCGCCATCTATTTTCCATCTGTACGGGGATAGAGTGTTGCCCCCTCGCGCAATGCGTGGGGTTTTCTCCTGGTGCTCCGATTTCCTCGCCACGCGTACAGACACTCATTCACTTTCCTGAAAACACCCCAAAATAATCCAACGTAGCAGGACACGACTGAAAAGGTATCGTGACGCCGTGTGGTTTCCTAGATAAACAAGTCATTATTATTAGTTTTGATTGTATTTGTTGACGCGGGTAAAATACAATCAGCCTGAAGCTCTTTTACAGAATACTCCACGCGTGACCTCGGTGAAAATAAAAGGAGTCCACAGCGTGACCATAATACACATCATAAGAGCATCAACATGATGAACATCATGACAATATAGACACCGAGTAGCACACACAATCGAGGAAACAGGTTACCTCGTTCCAAACGTTTCCAAAATATTGTGTAACACACTACAGATCATATGGAGATGTCACAGCCACTTGTATGACCTTTAATATGGTAAACACACCGAATATTACAAAATGGGAATAAAAACAACCAGCCCACAGATCCCCGTAAATCCCACCTTACATACAAACGTAACACCTTGAAATAATTTGATATTGCGACATTCCCTTATCGTAACAATTTCTTTTTAATATTTTAAAAACCAACAGCGTTTCATCTTCCAAACATTCGAAACAGCTCAACCAAGGTAACCTCACGAGGGGATCGCCCGGGGGGTTTAGGGACTTCAGTTTCTAGGAGAGAGGGATCGGTGCAGGTCAATCTGCCATCAACCAGGACAGGAGCCTGAAAATAATAGACGGCTGAACGATGTCGGAGAGAACTGCGCAGGACACCCCCTGTGGCAGAAGGCACTGGCAATATGGGGATGCCTTCTTATTGTGTTCTCCACAGTAGGCTGCGGATGCCGTCGACGCGCTCGGTGAAGATCGCCGCATCAGTCGTGCGCACGACAACGAACAGCATCTGGGAGACATCTCGAGCAGACCGCGTTAAGCTGAAAGCCACAATCGTTATAGAGCTGTTTTGATTATCAGATGTAACAGAAACTGTGCTGTTCACCTTGGCGGCGAGACTTAAAAAGTATCTGTGCAGTCTCAAGAACAACGAAACCTCTACCATCTTCTCCATTCCTCATGTATGTTAGAAACATGCATTGAGATTATTTTGATTAATTTGATGCTATAAATGTCCAAATGATAAGCCACTTTACTGAGCTATCATTTGTGGCCAGGTCGCTTTTGAACCATAAGGTGTATAATACCTCAGTGGGCTTTGCCCGATAGGATGGGGGATTGTTTAGTTTTATTTGTAAGTGTTTGGGTGATTTATTTATCTTTCTTGTACTTTGCACTATCGTGTTTTTGTATGTTTATTATTGTGACGTTCTTGCCCGCCCCTACTGGACATCTGTAAAATAAGAGCTTTATAGCTTATCGGATTCCTCCAGTATAAAAATGTAGATTCCGATGTTCAAATGGGATCACACGTTTGGGTTCACGAGCAGCGAGTAAACGTGTCCTTAATTTTACACGAAGGTGTGACGTATCGACACGCTTTAAACCTTGATGCCAGGAGAGAGCACATCAAACACTAAGGACTGTGTCCCACGTGGACTCGAGTTGTACAGGTTTTAATGCACTAAGTGTTTAAAACAATGTTGCGTTGGCACCGGTAATGGACAGCATATCTTTGCCCTCCCAGCACCGGTCTCACCCTCAGTACGCATATCTGCGATCGGAAACCCAACGCAGGTAAGAGGGGAAGACGGCAGAGAAAATATCTCCTAGCAGTCCATGCTGCCAAACCCTCAGCACCACTCCCACTGCAATAGGCACGGCCTGCTCCGCTACCTCATATCAAGATATAAAGTTCCAGCAGCTCAAAAAATTCACTGCGTTCAATACGACCCTACCATATCAGTCAAAATAATCACCCGCATACTTTCATTCTAGCCGGGAAACTCACTGCAGGACTGACATGAACATCAATACGTTTCTTCTAGGGCCAAACCCAAGACCACCTCTCCCGGTGTTTAATAACCACTATGGTGCTGTAATGAAGAAACCGTTGTCAATATTACAGTAAGCAGTGGTGTTCAAATTACTCCCAATTATGTGTAAGCTTATCATTTGATGTTTGCTTAAATGTACGGCTATTTTACCATTCTGGAAAAGCCTAACATGTGATATGTTTATAGCCAGACGCACGAGCTCAATAAACATCCAATCAAATATCTGCACTCAGCCCCACTTATCTTGTAATCATATGAAAATAAAGAGAGGCAGACCCTAAGTATCTATCCCGTATCTGTTCCCACGTCAAAAATAAACGTACAGCATTATATACACATCCCTTCTGGGAGCATAGCATTTTCAGTAGCATTGGGTCACCACAAATATTTAAACCAAGAAAAAAGCCCGTTAACAAAACCGCTCAGTTCCAGAGGTACCCTTGAGGTGTCATAATTAGCTCAAGTCACTGACGATGCCTAAAATGACCAATGTCCGAGGCCCAAAAGGTGCAGAACGCCATTCCCAACCTCAGAATGCCAAACACCTGGGTGGACCGAACGTCTGAACGTGTCTTTCGCACTCTGGTGAATGAACGTTGTGTGCAAATTCTATTTTAATACAAGTGCCTTGTAGACTCTGAATATATTCACAGTCTTCGTATAACAGCTAGGGTTTGTACAGTACTTACATCGTTATGTGCGTGCATGTACAAGTGTGTGTGTGTATATATTGTGTAGGGACACATTTTTACAGCCCCTATGTATCGACTTACTTGGCGCAAGAGAATTTAAATGGCAAAAATACATAACACATTACAACCGATTCCCAGAGTGACATTTCCCTAAATCGATACATGCATTAATTTTTTCGTTTCAGGTTTTCTTTCTAATTAAATATATTTTGGTTACCCAATGGAAGTTATTGAGCTATAAACAATATACACATCTCATATACAGTTCACCATCGTTTTCAAAGTACCACGTGATTAAATTAATTCTCAAATTACAATTAAATCTGAATGTACTGGCTGCTCTCTGCTCCGAAAAGACGGCACAAGAAACGCGAGTATTGTACGTCTGTTGGCTGCGGCAGTGTTCATGAAAATGCCAGGGACTTTTTAATTGGTCTGTTAATTTTGTGTTTTTGGAACTTATTGTTACAGAACTATTCTTATCCACAGCCCTATGCTCTACAAATCATAGTATCCGTGAAGGCTATAGGATATGTGAAAACTCCTATTATCCACGGTCCATATTGTTACAATTATCCGTGACTTATCCCCCAGAAGTCTTTTCAGAAGAGCATCCTATTACGCATGATAAAAATTGCATTTGCCAACACTTTATGCCTCAAACACCACTGCTGCATTTGAGAAAGTCCTAATAACCTGTGATATTTTTGCTGAGAAGGGGACTTGCGCAGATGTTTACTCCATGGATAAGAGGACTAAAATTGTGGATAACCGCGTGGATAAGAGGATCTGTAATATTGGTCTCCCATCGCACTTCCAAATAGAAAGGTTGCCTACTTACATTTCGAAAGATGTTCCAACATACATACATAGACATTTCCCTGCAGATAAGAGGAGTTGTGCATTTTTATAATCCCGTACGTTTATCCAGCATGGCCTCAATGAGTCTCAAGACTACACTTGAGGAGGGTCCTGACACGTTTTCGCAGAAGCAGCGCGATGTTGCTACGTCCAATTCCAAATGAGGCATTTACAGGTCATTTTTCAGCACTGTGTCTGTGTTTTTTTTTAGCTTATAGGAGAAAACAAGAAATCGCAGAGGAAACCCATGCAGAACAGAGGGAGAACATACAAACCCCAAAGAGAAAGACTCCCGGGTTTGGAATCGAAGCCAGGGCCTTCTTGCCGCCTGTGCTGTAGCCTGCCGCCCCTACTGGGTCCACGTGACACTGCAGTAAGGACCTCCATTACAGCACAGACAGCTTCTTCAGCAGCAGCGTGTGGTCGAGTGTTGCACTTGCCAGCAGGCCACCCTCGTTTTTGGGCGAGCCCTCGTACACGATTTCCTCTCCGCGCAGTGTGGTCATGTGGCCACCCAGTGCAGTCAAAATGGCATTGCCAGCGCAGATGTCCCACTTCTTGATGAGCGTCGTGTGGATGTACACGTCCGCCTTGTCCGAGTCGTCCCCCGTCACGTCAAGCAAGGACAGCACTTTGTACCCTGTATTGACAGTAAGAAAACCACATACTTGCCTGGCACCACAAAACAACCGCCATTCGCCACTAAGTAGCGGTGATGTCACCACCGCGCCTGTGCCAGGCTATGTGCACTTTAAGGCCACGTTAAGTGTCGAACGCCTGCTGGCAGGAGGTCATGGAACAGACCCAGGTGCCATGGCTTGACTTACTGAGATGACTGGCAGATGCGCCACCTGTGTTTTAGCCGCCCAGCACTGCACTCATTGTTGTGAGCGTCGCTTCTCTGTCCTCCGTTGTTGCCCAGTAGCGTCCTTCACGAGCCTCCTCCACAGAGTCTGATTTTGACACCGCTGGTACCAGTCATTGGGAAGTCCACTCAGCTCCATATCCTCTCATACCACATCATTCCGTCTCCGTACCGCACCCGTTTAGCCCCCTCTAACCGGCCGAACAAAAGCTGTTTAGGCATGCGGTGGCTGGGCATGTGGGCTACATGACCCAGCCAACGGAGCCTTGCCTACTGGAGGAGCTCACCGATGGGAATGTGTCCAGATCTTTCGAGGATTTGTGAGTTCCTCACATAATCCAGCCTGGTTAAACCCAGAATGGATAGTAGGCAGGCCAGCCTGAATGTTTCTAGCCAGCAAAGATGTACCATTACGGGGGTCCACGTTTCGCAAGCATAAAGGAAGGACATGACTGTGGCCGAGAAGACCCAAAGCTTCGTGTGGAGCGAAAGACCAGGTAGCTTCCACACCGTGTCACCCAGCCGATGAAAAGATAATGCTGCTCAACTGATTTGGCGTGAGACCTCTGCTGCCAAACTAGAGCTAATCATAAGCACTGCCCACGTATGGAAACCTCTCTCCACAACTGCCCCAACAATGGGGAGTTGAGGGGGTAGAGTGTTTGATAGATACAAAATATCCAGGCAGGGGCTTAGTATTGGAGGGACTGTGGGGCACCACACACAGACGCCAGCGTTCGGCTGGAGAAACATTGTGAACGCCTCTGTGGGTTTATACCATGATGAACCATCACCTGAGATGCACGTGTCACGTGAATTTGCCTGTATAGCTGGGCCAGCGGCAGCGCATTTACCGCTTGTTGCTGCAGAGGTTCGCAATTTAAATGCACGTGCGTTTGTTGAACTTCTTTTGCACCGCACATAGCCAACCGTACTAATCGGGGGTGCGGATCCAGTATTTGTGCGCTTAACTCCAGTATTTTGTGCGATTAATATAGTGCGAGTGTATTAATCATACGTATACATGACATCTGCTTCAAAGTGGACCCTAAAGATCCAGTAACATCATTCGAAACGAGAGGGCCATTGTACGCAGGCGTCATGCTCCCAATTTGTCAAATTTGAAAATTTACCGGCAAATTACTGAAATGAGATTACACACAGCAACATCGCCCCATACTGCACACTATATCCAGCTGTGAAACGTAGCGCGTTCCTTCGCGATCGCGCTATTCCACAAGAATTTGTATTAATACCAAACGCACTACATTGTTTATTACATCCGCGTTTGCCTGGGGAAACGTTTTGCCCCGCAAAGTCATCCAACATTTGATGAGAAACTGCTGTACATTCGTGTGTCAGTGTGGAGTTTTGGAGCGAGAGCGATAATTAACAAGTGTGGCAACAGGGCTCTGGAGAAGATTCGCTCATCACGTCCACGCGCGTGTGTGTTGACCGGGTTTGTGAAACGACCACCAGGAAAGCAGTGAATGTTTTCAGAATCTATTACCAGTTCCCAAAGTCGGGAACAGGAAATCATTTTCCGTGCCATTTTAGTAATGAGTCTATTGATTGGCACACGCGATCTTACAGTTTTAGTAACGAGTCCACTTATTGGCACACGCGATCCTACAGACCGCACGGGGGCCCAAGTCACCACACGGTTCACTCGCCCTCATTTATAAAACGTAAAGGTGCATCCTTGCTCGCTCACACCCGATGGGGATCTATCGAGGGTATTTGGTCTACTCTTCCACACTGCCCAGACGTCTTGGAAGAGGTCGGCATACCCACACTTTACCCCAACGCACACGGCCTGCTGATCGACTGAGGCGCACCCGTTTACACGGCTGGATAAGCAGAGGTGGTGGTGGTGGATTTGAGAAACTTGCCCGGATTGTTTCAACCGCCGTGACGGGAGGTGGAATGGCACGAGAGACGTCAGGATTGCCAGCGCAGTATGCTCACCATCACACCGCCGTGGCGATGCCCTTCGGTCTCTCCGTTGAAAAGTCGCGTTTGTCGCGACGATTTTTACCGGTGTCTTCACCGCAGTCACCGGCGAGGCAAAGAAATCCCGCAATTGAACCGCCCCTCGTGGTTGACTTTTACCTGCGCCTCCAGCGGGGACGATCACGGACTTGTTGCCAAAAGCGGCGTGCGCCTGCCGAGCGACGTTGCCGGCGTGGGACCGAGAGACGATGAACACTGGAGACTCGTGGGGGCTGTGTCCTGCGTGGCGCTGCTGCACATTGGCAGAGTGCCCACGGCCCACAAATCCCCACACTGCAAGCAGCGCACCCACGCATTCACACACGGAAATCAAAAACACAAACACACACACACACACAAAGGCAATTTACACACAGTTTAAGCAGCAGGGGGGCAGTGCAGTGACAATACTCGTGCCTCACGGCAAGAGGGCCCTGGGTTCAATTCCCGACTCGGGCGGCTTTCTATGTGGAGTTTGTATGTTTCTCCCCCTGTTCTGCCGTCGGAGTGAGAGTTTGTCGAGTTTGTATTCCCTCCCCCTGTTCTGCAGTCGGAGTGAGAGTTTGTCGAGTTTGTATTCCCTCCCCCTGTTCTGCAGGCGTTTCCTCCGGCTTCTCCATTTTCCTCCAATAGCAACAAAACATAACATACACTGTGAAAATAATAACCGCAAATAATTAATTGAAATCACACATTGCAACGTCGCCGGCTCCTGAAAAAGTGTCTTGAGACTCGGGTGAGGCTTCCTGGGTAAACAAGTTGGAGAAGGATGTGGGCCAGAGACATGTGGACCACCACCACCACCACCATGTCCAAACCAGAAGGTGAACACAACGTGAGTGCGACGTTCTCCTTTCCCCAATTATGCGGCAGGAAGCAGGACCGCAGCATAGTACAGAAATCCGTCCAAGTATCCGTGACAGCGGTGAAAGTTTCCGGACAAAAAAAAAGAGGCACTTTGTGATTCGCGCCCTCGAGCGTAAGAGGAGTAACCCCCACGCAGCTGCAGTCACTGCGGAACCACGCGTTCACTCAACACTCTCAAGCAGCCACACCGGCTAGCTGCGTCGAGTGGACATAATTACAAATGTACAATCAACTCCATCAGCAGACTCCTCGTGTCTCGGTATAATGGCAAGCGCACAGGAAAGCCTCGTGGTGTTTGGCTCCACCAGCAAACACAGAAACCTCCAACCGGACAGCCCGTGCGGTGCACACAGCCGCGAGCTACGTGCGCCGACCACAGCTTACTCTCTCTCTCTCTCGCACGTTATTTATCCCCCTACATACGTGCAATTGGTTCAATTTCACGTTTAATAAAAACACATTTCAACTCATTTATACCATTAAATCTCACGAGAACGAGAGCTCAAGGTCGGTACGAGCCCACGTGGGCGACGCATGCAGTCGGTGACTCCGTTCCCCTGGCCTCTCCGCTCAATCCCGCACTCTGCTCGGACTTGGGCCATTCTTGACACAATTTTCTTTGACACCAATATACTGAACAAAAATCTTGGTAACCTTCCCCCTACGGCAAACCAGCCCCCCTCCTCCCGCTTGCTCCGCGGTGTTAGTGACTTAACATCGAGTCGCAGACAAGTTAGTGTCGTCACAAATCGCCGTGTTCACACGCAGAAATCCTGCACAGTGTATGGGAAGTCAAACCGTGGCTCAGTATAGTTGCTTACATTGCTTGTCAAAAAAATTTCAAGTTCATTAAAACATTGGCCAAGATTTATGCATCTTGTATTGATAAGGGGATGTGCGCTACGATGGCGAGATGTTAAATACCTAACCTGGTATGCAGGAGATCGTGGGGTTTGAGCCCGACCCTGACGCCTGTACATTTGGAGTTTGCATGTTATCACCGTGGTCGCGTGGAATTTTTTCCGGGTCCTCCGGTTTTTCCCTCCACATTTAGAATCAACATGTGTTTAAGAGTATTTGCCTGCTATACATTTACATGTGATAAGCCACTTCGTTAAGATATCATTTGTGGCCAGGTCACTTCTAGATTTGAAGCTTTCGTAGACTGCAAGGATCCATACTCTTTGGTTCTATTCGGTAAAGTCACGTAGGTTATTTTTTATTTTTACCTACGTGACTTTACCGAATAGAACCAAAGAGCCAGGTCACTTCTTAAAAAAGAGCTACATAGCTCAGTGGGCCTTACCTGGTAAAATAAAATATTAACTTGGACAATGCTCTTGTATTGTAAACGCAACAACAGGTAACTGACTACTCTATTCAGTGTTTATTAAACGTAATATAACAACATTTAAACGTAGTTTTGCAGTAGTTATTTATCAATTGTGTCATTATTTGCAGTACGGCACAACTGCGAGAACTGGCCAGTCCCTGGGATTCGTGGATTATTGGCGGTTCGCAACTTACTCCCGATGTCAAGTCCAACAATAAACCCTCTAGCACAGAGAGAGACCCATCTGGCAACTGTGGCCATTTGGGATCTTGGGAAACTCATACCCTCGTATTATCCGATCATTCGTCGCCTCCACAGCACACGGGGCACGACACAGATTACAGGATCACCGTAGATCGCCCCCCCCCCCCCCAGATCAAGGCAGATGATTGCTTAAGTTCTGCTGTGTTCCCCATCATCTGCAGTATGCCCCCGTTGGTCCAGCTTCACGAGGGCTATCGGTTTTATAGCCGCTCCCGAGAACACCACTGACATGTATTATCAGTCACTCGGTCACGACTGGCTCTGAAATGATTTGCTTGTGCACTCGGCAACAGAGTGACCCCAGCAACAGAGAACGCCACGACGGACTCTACACACCGGTCAGCTTGAGAAACGGCTTGTGGATGACTCCGATAACCGGCTTCCCGTTGATGGCCACACACACCATCGTGGTCACGTACTTCACGAGGTTATCTGCATCCAGGGAAACCACACGAGAGGAGCCGCGTGAGGTGCTGCATGCAGACTCACGAGTCATAGCAGGCAGCGAGAGTGGTGCTGGATCGTCACCAGAGCCACTGCCATCGCCTCGGTGTTAGGGAAGCTCATTCATTGCAAGGTCCCATTGCGCAGGATCAGCAACCAACACAAGATGCGACGATCCTGCTGAGGTTTCGGCGAACGCGCGTGCATCGTCCACACGCACTTGGCGACTCATAGTGGAAGTCGTCGCAAATTGTAGCGGCTGACATTCCCGTGAAGCTCTATCCTTAGTCTTAGTGAACGCAAAGTGGGCGAACAAACACACCGGTGCTCAGCAGTGAAAAATGTAAACCCTTCCGATTTCTCTCTTTCGTACCTGCACACAAAGCTCTTGAGCAGTCTGCTCGTCTTATGGGGCACGTGGTAAAACCCCAACGTTCCCAAAGCCCTCCAGTCCATGAGAAGTATTCGCTTGCGTAAATTCCAAAACCACTTCTATAGATAAACCATAAATTATTACTTTGTGTAACTAATTTGTTTCTATGCATATTCGTTTGCACATTCCCTTCTTGCAATGTCTTGTGTAACTGCTGCCACTGACTGCCCACTGTCTTGGGCTGTGGTTGTCCTTGTAAGTGTGGTCAAGCATTTACACCATTGGAACCTCCTTTGCCAGTAGCAAAATATAATTGTTTTTGACCCTTTTTTCTGGCAAGAATACTGAAACCTTTTCACAAGGAGTCATGTTTGCATTGACAACACTACCTGCGGTCGGAACGCAAACAGAAAACATGACGCCAAAAGGCGCCTTTTGGCGTCATCTGGTCCAACACCATGTGAGACTAGGCTCTAAGGAAAGCTATCTCGGGTGTGGACCAATCAATTGCAAGGACAGTGCATAACATGATCAGTTATGTTTTTTGTTTGCGTTCCGACCGCAGGTATTGTGGTCAATGCAAACATGACTCCTTGTAAAAAAAGGTGTCAGTTTTGTTGCCAGAAAAAAGGGTAAAAAACAATTGTCAGTGTGGTCAAGCTCAATGGGCCTTAACCAGCTGAAATAATAAAGTGTGAGGCTGATTAGGTCACTGTGAGTCCACTCTGCAGGTGAACATGGTTCCACAATTACCACAGCATGAAGGCGACGCTGCTTGTCCCCAAATTAAACGCAACCACCTCTCACCGACTCCATCAGCGAAATTTATCGTTCTCCTGTGCGTTCCCAGTGAGAGTGTTTCAGTGTTTGTGTGTTTTTTTATGATTTATTTTATAAGAACCCAACTGTACAGTCCTTCACGAGGTATACATGAAAAACCAAACGCACAGTGAACTAAACTATCAAGTTTTCGGGTATGAGACCTGGGGGAAAGTTGAAATCAATGTCAGTGTTAAACAGGAGCTGCATCCACGATTCACTCAGAAAAGAAAAAAAGTATTTGAAAAGGGTCAATTCCTTTTTTGCCCAATGCCAGGAGTATTTAAGCAATTCAACGTACAGTAAACCCTTGTTAGTTCGGCTCTGGCCTTGCCGAATGATTAAATATTCTGAATTATGTACAATGATACTCCCCAGTGCCTCCTGCCCCAATAAAACACTAACACTGCATATATGCCGAAAGCACTGTCATTTCGAATCATCCCCAATTACGAATTATCAAATACTGAAATAACGAGGTTTTACTGTAATGTACAAAAGCCATCCTTCAATCCAGGATTTTTAAATGCCCAAAGCGGAGAATAACTTTTTCCTGAAGAATTAGCAGGGAATGGAATGTTTTTTTTCATTCCAATCACGGGTTTCGTTCAGCTGTATGGCATCTAACATCTAAATGTTTAACTTTGCTCAGATTTCTATTTGCTTTACTGATGAACTCTTCGTTTATGTCATTGCTTTATTTTGGCTGACCCAAGTCACTCTTGCACTTGAGAGTCATCCCGGTCTCCTGAGTTCACCTGGTTAAACAAAATCAACTTGACAATAGATCGTGCCAGTTTGTACAGTACATGTATCCATTTCAGTGGGTGAACGCATGCTAAAATTAGAATGCAACGCGTCCCACTGACTTCACATGTGTGCGCGTGTGCGTGTGCTTGTCAAACCCGTGTACTCCTGCGTGGCGTCCAGAGGGTCCAGCCACACGGTGAGGGCCTTCTGCAAAGCTGGCTGGGGGTGTGGGATCCGCTCCAGGACCTCGTGGTTGATGGAGCCGTCCCATTCCGCATCCTCCACGTCCGTGTTGTCAGTTTCCTCGGAGATGACCTGTGGCGGCGGCGTCGTCACAGCACCGCATGTTAATCACACCGCGTTCGGAGCGCGCGTGAATCAGGGTGCTCGCGGTCATCGAGAGGAATGCAGACTGGGAGGGTGTGGACGGAAAGTCAAGTGGAGAGAGACAGACAGAGTGATATCCCGCTGCGTCAGGTGGGAGAAGAATGCCGACACGTTCGGCCTATCAAGAAGAGTAAGAACATCTGGGGATTGGACAGGTGGTAGGTGAGCGGGAATGAGGTAAAGGAGGTGGCTGGACAGGTGGCAGTGAGAGGGAATGAGCTGGAGGAGATGAAAGAGGGAAAAGTCTTTGGAAGAAGCCATAGAGGAAGCCAGACCACAGGGCAAGAGGCGTCGAGCAACGTGAGCAGGAGAGCGAAGTGCCTCCAGTCTGCCTGTCGACAGACGCGTGGTGAACACACACACAGGGGGGGACAGACGCGTGGTGAACACACACACAGGGAGGGACAGACGCCTGGTGAACACACACACAGGTGGGACAGACGCCTGGTGAACACACACACAGAGGGGGACAGACGCCTGGTGAACACACACACACAGGTGGGGACAGACGCCTGGTGAACACACACACAGGGGGAGACAGACGCCTGGTGAACACACACACAGGTGGGGACAGACGCCTGGTGAACACACACACAGGTGGGGACAGACGCCTGGTGAACACACACACAGGTGGGATAGACGCGTGGTGAACACACACACAAGTGGGGACAGACGCCTGGTGAACACACACACAGGTGGGACAGACGCCTGGTGAACACACACACAGGTGGGACAGACGCCTGGTGAACACAAACAGGGGGGGGGCAGACGCCTGGTGAACACACACACAGGTGGGGACAGACGCGTGGTGAACACACACACAGGGGGGACAGGCGCCTAGTGAACACACACACACAGGGGGGACAGGCGCCTAGTGAACACACACACACAGGTGGGACAGACGCCTGGTGAACACACACACAAGGGGGGACAGACGCCTGGTGAACACACACAAGGGGGGGGGGGGGCACATTCTTCGCCAGACATTCCGAACGCGAATCTGCGGCAAAACAGCAGACGCCGCTACAGTAATAATGGCAGCAGCGACGACAGCGGCCGCCTGCAGCGGCTCGACTCCACAGCGGCCGTGAGCCATCGCAGACCTGGCGCTGAGTGCCCAGGGGCGACCCGGCACGACCCCCATAGGGAGGGGGTGTGGAGGGGGTGGGGAAGCCTTCATCCCTGACCGCGACTCCCACAGTCGAGTCGGGCCACGTGGCTCCGAGCGAGCGGCTCGCACGACGAAGGGTCGCCAGTTCAATGCCGCGTTTTGAGGGGGTCGACTCAGCCCATCATCCTTCCAGAGGTCGATAAAACACCTACCCCGCTCTGTGGGTAAGTCAACGACCGTCGTTGCCCTGTGAACAGGCTCACCACCCACCCTGACGTCTGAATGTCAACTGCGGGCTGGAGTGGTTGCGACATTTCCTCACGAATCCCGCGATCCGGAGGGCCCCAGCGCCCTGGCCACCTGGACCCAGCGTGGCCACCTGGACCCAGCGTGGCCACCTGGACCCAGCGTGGCCACCTGGGCCCAGCGTGGCCACCTGGGCCCAGCGTGGCCACCTGGGCCCAGCGTGGCCACCTGGGCCCAGCGTGGCCACCTGGGCCCAGCGTGGCCACCTGGACCCAGCGTGGCCACCTGGACCCAGCGTGGCCACCTGGACCGAGCGTGGCCACCTGGGCCCAGCGTGGCCACCTGGACTCAGCGTGGCCACCTGGGCCCAGCGTGGCCACCTGGGCCCAGCGTGGCCACCTGTCTGGCCCAGCGTGGCCACCTGCCTGGCCCAGCGTGGCCACCTGCCTGGCCCAGCGTGGCCACCTGGACCCAGCGTGGCCACCTGCCTGGCCCAGCGTGGCCACCTGCCTGGCTCAGCGTGGCCACCTGCCCAGCGTGGCCACCTGCCTGACCCAGCGTGGTCGCTTACCTGGCCCGGGCGGCTCGCAGTGATCCCCTGTCGTGGTGCCGGTGAGACGCCTTGTGCCGGCTTTGGTCTACAGTGGGGACGGCGGCGATGCAAGGGGGGACCCGTGGTAGTTGGGGGGGGGGCCGTGGTGTCCCGAAGTGGAGGGGCCTTGGCGACCCGGAGGTAGGGAGGTAGGGAGGGAGGGACCCGTGACATTCGGGTGGTGGTGGTGGCCGTGCCGACCCTTCACGCACCTTGACGCCGGGCAGCGCGTGGTGGAAGGCCGCGGTCATGGCGCGGTGCGAGGCGAGGTCCCCGGGCGTGAGGAGCTCCTCGGCGCCCTCCCGCGTCTTGCCCTTGCTGCGTGCGTGCACGCCGCTCGCCTCGCGCACCGCGGCCACGCGCGCCCCGCCGCGCTCGGCCGCCAGCAGCGCCACGCTGAGCACGGAGCGCAGGTCGAGCTCGCGGTGTCCCGCGGGCGGCGAGGCGAGCGGGGGGCCGCCCCCCGGGGTGCCCAGGGCGGCGAGCAGGCGGTAGAGGAGAGCGACGGTGACGAGCGCGATGAGAGCGATGCAGAGGGTGGACGAGCGCAGCCCCAGCAGCGCCATCTCCACCACCACCACCTCGTCGGGGGAAGGTGGAGGTGGGGTGAAGCTGCCACGTCGATTCTCCGTAACGCGGCCTGGATCGCGCGCAGGAATCGATGCGTTCGATTTTTGGCGTCAGCTCCCGCAACGTGGACTTTCAAAATAAAAACAACTTGGACTCCCTGAGTACTCACAAAAGCCATCAAACTCATTTGTTTTGTTGTTGTCTTACCAGGAGGTTGTAAGGGCCACTCGCCGAGCTGTTTTTTTTTAAATCAGGAGCTATCACAGACGATCGCTCAACGCCGAAGTAGCTTATTACAGAGGGGCAATCTTGATTTGAAGCTTTCGTGACTGCAGGAATCCATACTCTTTGGTTCTTTCGGTAAAGTCACGTGGATTAATTTTACATCTACGTGACTTTACCGAAAGAACCAAAGAGTATGGAGAGGGGAATTTTTATTAGCGGCCACGTACTCCAAACCGCGTGACGTTGGATTCTAAACGTGGGGGGGGGGGGCAAATCGCCACGTGGCTCACCGAGAGAGTGAAACTCCTGGCCGTGGCTTCACGACGTTGCCCAGGGATTCCGGCAACCTTTCGAAGAAGAACAAGATAATTTGTTTAACGCGTAGGCTTTCGCGACCAATATCCATAATGCAACACACGGGTGTTGCTGTACAAGGCAACGAATTGGCACGTCCTGTTAACGTGACAAACCTTACGAATTGGCTGTCGGGTGGTGGCGGGTTTAACGACACATTTAAGCGATCCCAACCCAAAAAGTATTCAGTTTTTCCGTCGGCCCGTCTTTCCAACCAATACATGCTCAAAAATGTTGAGAAATTAATTATAATTCATATTCCCTCTGTACGCTCGCGTGAATTTACGTGACATCGTTATTTTTTCCATCGAATTTGGTGCCCCACTTAGCTTGGCGCCCGAGGCGACCGCCCGATTTCGCCTGTACGGACGGGCTGCCCCTGCTCCCAGGCCGTCTGCTCGGTGCGAGACCCATCCTGGACCAGGTTCAATGTCGATCGTGGTGACGGTGCCCGATTAGGCTAATGCGGGGCCTGTAGCATATGTTATAAAGGGGCCTTAAATGTAAAAAAAGAACATTCATATGAAAACACAATTTTTTAACTCGCATAGTAAAGTTATTTAATTTGCTCCACAGCCAGATAACCTTAAACACCCAGATAACATTAAACACCCAGTCAGTCGTTCATAAAAGTTGAAGGCGGTATAGTACTATAGTAATAGAGCAACTGCAGAATCACTGAACCGGAATTGATAGCTTGAAAGCATTTAGCGCGGGGCCCTTTAAAGTGCGGGGCCCGTAGCTACATAATATGTAGCTACTTTTGCTACGAGGATAATCGAGCACTGCTGTCGACCCCCAGCCCCAAGTCTTGCCCAGGCCACGACCTTCATCTTCTTCTCTGCCTATGACCGAGTGCCACTTCTAAAGATTCCCGCCGATTCTGTACAGCCTCCTAAGATGCGCTCACATTTAGACACTATATAAATCCACATTGTACGGTAATGTTTTATTGTAATCGTCATTATCATGAGCACATAGCTTTAATTAGCTTTCACCACTTGACAAAACGACAGTTTAATATATATACAGCTCGTGTACAACATGATCAAACAGCGCCACATTATGAATCCAAACAGAAACAAAAAGCTAACCGACCAAAAACAGCTGCTAGATATTCAACTTCCTGACATCGGAGATCAACCTCGTGACGTCTTCGGGACACGTCGACACACGTCTTTGACCACTTCGAGAACGCTTGCGATGCTGGCAGCGATGCACATGCGTAGGTAGCACACTCATCAGTACCACTGCCTCTCGAATAAATAATCAGCAGCGTTTCTACGGCAGAGGCCGAGCGAACGATGGCAAGAGATTACACATCATGGGGCCCTGCTATACATTTAATTTAAGAATGTTTTGAGATGAAGTCTCAAATTGGAATATGAACAGTTACCCGTTCTTAGACATTTGGTCACAAACTCTTCATAAGTCAAACATGTATACATTGATCTGTATTTAGAAACCCATTTTAAAAGCTGCCGACATATTACACCACGGGTAACCACCATGTTGCATTGTGATGCTACTGAAGAGACCCATTTTCTGATTTAAAATTGTCTACGATACTGCATTGGCAGTGGTGCACAGGAACAAATAACAAAAACTCATTCATCAATATAGAACAAATTAACCATCTATGATTGGCCAACAGCGAGTTTAACGTCTCATGGGGATGAATGTTACAAGAACGTAATGAGGTGACGGAATGACAAAAACAAAGGGCATGTGGATATTACTGTTGCTTGGGCATGAACTCGCAACATGGGACACTGACAGAAAGAGGAATACATGGCTCAGAACACCCGCTTTAGACATTGATCGCTCTTAAGTGGGCTTGGGCAGGGCATATCCAGAGAACGGGATGATGGCCGAGGTCGAAACTGACAGAATGGGAGGCAAATGAGGGAACATGCTGAACAGGACATCCCATCGCCTCGTGCGCAGATCCTGCATGGAGTTTTGTACCATGACCCCGTGCGAGATGGCGATGGCTTGGGGAAACCTTTAGTCAGAAGTGCATATAGATCAAGGCTGTTGCTGATGTTCATGATCTCTGTCGCCTGCCAGCCGAGCCTTATCTGGACTCAACACACAATAGCATGGACAAAGACAACACGATTTCAAACAGTTTCAGCGGTTTTAATGCTGGAGAGTAAAATAGGGTATGATGCAGAAAGCCAACACATTATATTTGCATTGATGAACATTGGCATTCTAGGCTGCATATTTCCTGTAAATTGATGGGGACGCTTACTTAATCCACAAGTTGGCTCAGTATAAATATTGTATTTATTTTATTGTCCTTCCCCCGCACCTCCGGTTATCATGGCTGGCTGCGTACGGTGTGAAAGAAGTTCAAGACACACTCATAAAAATATGCATAGGGCAGTCCGCGACTTACAAATGGGTTCCATTCCTGAGACCCGTTCATAAGTCGAATGGTTCGTAAGTCAAAACACAATGTCCTATTTAAATACAAATAGGTTCGATCCAAACCCCGACACCTGTATATTTGGAGTTTGCATGTTCTCCCCGTGGCCACGTGGATTTTTTTCCGGGTCCTCCGGTTTTTCCCTCCACATTTAGAATCAACGTGTGCTTAAGACTATTTGGCTGCTATACATTTCAGCATAAGCCACTTCGTTGAGCTATAATTTGTGGCCAGGTCACTTCTGAAAAAGAGCTATATAGTTCAGTGGACTTTACCTGGTAATATAAATATATATTTTTGCTTTACCAGCTAAAATAAATCATTTTTATATGGTCAGTGTGATCAAATGTGTTACGGTTCAACAACATTGTTTAACTGGTAAAAATAAATAGTATAAATGTGCATGTAATACTGTAATAAATTGTCCGGTAAATAAAACATAAAATAAAGTAAATAGAAAAAAAACTGAGTAATCTTCGCTTACCTCGAGTCCTGATACAGGCTTGCTTGTTGGAAGGGGGGTAATGAGTCCTCACAATTGCACACACACACACGTGCATGCGTGCACGTACTTGACGTACACCAATAATCCCCCGTATAGCTTACATAGGCTGTTGGGGCTAGTGCTGTTACTGAGCAGCGTCTATGAAAGTCGCAAAGACACACAAGGGGGTGGGTGGCCGACGCCATGCCCGGTCATCTTTGTCTTCCTAGTAGCGATGTTTACACACCGAACCAGGTACTCATTTGAGGCCGAGTCGACCAGAGAAGGCCCCGGACCAGCTCAGGTAATCGTCACTGATGTTGGCCACGAGCGGGAATCGAACTCGGGTCGCTGTGTTAGTGGCAGAGCATGCCAACCGCGACACTACCGCTCCCCACTTTCACTCACACACTTGTCCGTGCGTACACACTCCCAGAGGGATGCTGTTACTCGTTACATCAAACAGAGGATTGCGCCACTAAACAAAATAGTTTAACAGTTTGGTTCGCATTTGCGAGTTCACAAATTCGGATGGTGAACAAAAAACATCTTATAGAAACTCGTTCGTAAGTGCGGCTATTTGTATGTTTGGGACTACCTGGACGTAAATACTAAAATAAAATTAGCAGTTATCAATGTGAACAATATCACGTGTCTTCATGCATGTTTGTGCTTGCTATTTTTTGAAAATTCCAAAAGCATACATTTCTGTATTACGCTTGTTCACCCAGCAGAGCCTGAGCCTCAAGACTCCTAAGGCGGGAGGGATCCTTCCCAAGCGTTCGCAGTAGTGGCAATATATTCTTCTGAGCATGTACGCTGAACTTCTTTCGCAACCGTACGTAGCCAATCGTGAGTAATCCCAATCGAGTAATTTGCAGATAATTTTTCAACAACTGGGATGTTTGGCCAATACCAGTTACAAAGTATGTGTTTTTTTGCTATGGGAAAAACCAGAGGAAACCCATGTAGAACGGGGGGAGAACATACATACTCAAAAAACCTCTATGGATACATACTCAACACAGAAATACGTTATTGAACCCAGGAGCTTCTAGCTAATGAGGCACGGGTGTCACCACTGCACCGCCCTGCCACCCAATATAGATTTTCAACATCCAACTCCACGTCTAGCAAAAGGGGTCATAGCTTCTCTTCAAATTTCGATTTAAAGCTTTCGTGACTGCAAGGATTCATCTTCTTTGGTTCTTTCGGTAAAGTCACGTAGAATGAGAATAAAATAATAAATTGATAAAATAAAATAACACAATAATATTCTCACTTATTTTATCAATTTATTATTTTATTCTCATTCTACGTGACTTTACCGAAAGAACCAAAGAAGAAGCTTCTCTTCACTTTTGCTCAGCGTTGCAGTTTTGAGAGGGGTTGCGATCCACACTCGTGCTACTGCAGCGGAGATTCCGCTGGTACTGCTCCAGCAGCTGCCGCGCCTGCGTGCGGGCCTCCTGCACGCCTTCGCTGAGCTCGAGCCAGGAGGCCGGCAAGCCACCGTCGCCGTGATAGGCCCCTGCGATGGCGCCAGCCATGCTGGCCACCGTGTCGGTATCGCCGCCCAGGGAGACGGCGTAGAGCAGCGTGCGGGCCACGCCGCCCAGCTCCTCGGGAATGTCGGGCTCGGGCTGCAGGCAGCGCAGGAAGGCGTACACGGCAGTGGGCACCGACTCCAGGGCTTGCACGTTGTTGCCTGCGTGAATCACGCAAACATCCAATCAAGATCAACAACAATGTTGATGGAACTCGCTATTAGTTATCGCTGCATGTCCAATTGAATGCCGTTCACAGGTACACTCAAATGTAACATTAAAACTAAAATCTTTCAGGACTAAGCAGAGCTCTTAAACGAAAGCAGAGATGGGTGAAAGAATGTTCCATAAGCAATTCATAAATCAACAGTTTCATATGTGCAGTATTAAAGATATTGTCATTCGGAAATGAAAGTGGCATCATAGGTGATGCCAAAGCTTTGGGAGTGGAAGATAGCAGCATTCACGCAGCCCACTCTGTTAAGTTTGAAATCGCGACAAATGCCGTCGACGCGGCGACCGAACATCGATCATCGATCTTCCCAGTCTTCAGAGCAACAACACAATGCACTCTCACAAGGAAACTCCCCCTCAAGTCTCACCGAGATACTGCACAACATCTTCTCTTGGCACGTCTTTCAGGTTCAAGAACTCCTTGATCTTCTCCAACCTATTACAATAGGGTGTTGCACTTTTTGCACTGTGGAAAAAAAGAATAAAATTATACAAATTTACAGGATATGATCAATTTTGATTTAAAGCTTTCGTGACTGCAGGGATTAATATTCTTGGTTCTTTCGGTAAAGTCACGTAGAAGGGAAACAATAAAATAATAAAAAGATAAAATATTGTTTCCCTTCTACGTGACTTTACCAAAAGAACCAAGAATATAGGATATGATAACCTTTTATTATAATAATCTGAAATGCTTACAATGTACATTTATACAACATCCACTCATTGCATCCTCACAAAGTGAAATAACTGAAACATGAATTAGTCGTCATCATATTTATTATATCACTACGTAACAAGATTTTTGTTCCTGGGTAGCCAGTGTTACTTTCTAATTGCTTATGCCTCAAAAGTAAAGAAAATGGCTATTATTCCCCACAAACTTTGCTTTCCTGACACAAATGCACACGTTTTGTCATTGACAATTTCAAAATATCACTGTCCTGATCACAAAAGCCAAGTTTGTGGTCAATAATAGCCATTTTCTGTACTTTTGAGGCAGAAGCAATTAGGAAATAAGACTTACTACCCAGGAACAAAAAAATAATAGATTTGTTATACAGTGTTATTAATGGAGTGGATTATTAACAATGCTTTTGTGTCCTAGTCACAGAAGCCAAGTTTGTGGGTAATAATAATAATAGTCATTTTCTGTACTTTTGAGGCATATGAGAATAGGTTTTCCCCCTTTTATCTGGCAACAAAACAGCTGTGTTAAGTTGTTAAAACACCAAACTGAAACCTTTTACAAGGAATCATCTCTGCATTAACCACAATACTTGTGGTCAGAATGCAAAAAAAAACATACTCTGATAATATATTGGCATTGTCCTTGAAACTGATTGGTCCACACCAGAGACAGCTTTCTTTTGAGCCTCGTCTCAAATGGTGTTAGACCAGAGGACGCCAACAAGGCGTACAGCACAAAGACAATGCCACTATCAGAGTAATGGGAGCTCGGGGTGAGCATCAAAATATGAGAATAGGCTTTTCCCCTTTTATCTGGCAACACAACAGGTGTTAAGTTGTTAAAACAGGCATAAGCAATTGAAAGATAACACTTCCTACTCAGGAACAAGAAAAACATGTTTGTTACACAATGAATTATCAGCTGAAAATTAACCAATGGAGATTACACAGAGCAGCAACATCACCCCCAACTACAACAACTTGGCAGCACCCTCCTGAAAAAAGTCTGGAGACTCAATGAGGCTTGGCTGGGTAAACACGCATCATTATAAAGACTAGAACTGATCTCTGTCAGATGAGCCACATTTACACAGTGGAAAAAAAATCAAGTCAACCTACAGGCAGAACACACACACACCTGACAGAAATGCGAGACATGGCCTTGGTAAGGTCAGGATAAATTAATTTCGCACTTGTACTTAGTGGGAAACATTGTCCATCATAGAGGGAAATATGATGGTTATTATGAAGTGGGAATTTTAGTCCCTCCAGGAATAAAAACTGAAGATTTTAGATATATGGGATAGAGTTTCCCAGCGATCAATGAGACTCTACAAAAACTTAGCGATGTGAGGATGTTTCAGATATCACACGTGAAATAGTGACCACTTCTCTTGGCAGGAAGAAAAATGAGAAAGCTCCCAAACCAGATGGAAAAACTGTGACCTCTTCATAAAAGTAGCACGACTATTTTCTAATGCTTACAAGCTATGCAATGCCTCCGTCATGGAAATATGCCTAAATTATTATTCAATTTAGAAGGGAAAACACAACTGATGTAACCAGCTACTAAACCATGAGCATCTCATCACACGTCACTGATTGGTTTCGTTTTCTATAATTCCCCCCGCACCTCTGATTAGCACGCTTGGTTACATATGGTGCGAAAGAAGTTCAACAAACAAACATACAACCGAATAATGGATATTTTTGAGGCCAACCCACACATGAACAAGCTGGAGTTACAAATATTTCTATCATTTGTCGCTTATTCATCAGATTTCAATGACAAATGAATATCAATTACCATTACGCTTAACACGTAGGCTTTTGCGACCAACATTTACAAGCAAATTTCCGGGCCCTCGCCGAGCCTACATCAAAATGAGCTGCCCCGCCCATCTCTAAACCTTTATAAACAGCTCTTTGATTGGTGTAGACCGACTGCAGGTTACGGAGACCTCCCCTACATTAACATGAGCTGCCCCGCCCATCTCTAAACCTTTATAAACAGCCTGCCTCAGCAGATTTCCCCCTCTGAAGACGATTGCTTGTGTTGCGATCGAAACGTGGTGATCTATTTTTTATACCTACGTGACTTTACCGAAAGAACCAAAGAGTATGGATTCCTGCAGTCATGAAAGCTTCAAATCAAGATTGAATATCATCCATCATAGAGGTTTTTGGGTTAGATCACGTAAATATATAAATGTGTCATTTAAACCCGCCACCACCAGACACAGCCAACTAGTAAGGGTTGTCACGTAAACAGAACAATCCTTACTAGTTGGTTGTGTCGGGTGGTGGCGGGTTTTAACGACACATTTATATATTTACTCGATCTAACCCAAAAACCTCTATTATGGACTATTACGCTTAGCTTTTGTAGAAGTCCTATGAAAAAGCATTTGAATCGGTGGAAATAACGCAGTCAACCAGGCTCTCAAAGTCCACAGGCTTAATACAAAAAAATAGAAGTGATCAAATAATGAAAAAATATGAAATAGCTCCACTGAGATTACAACAAGAACACAAATCTCATAAGAGGACCCAGGCAAGGAGGGCCACTCTCAGAGGCACAGCCACATTACAATATATTGCAAAAATTATATCGGAGAAATAAACAAGGAAATTGTTTTAATGGCCTGGTCCACAAAATAGCCAATGTCAATACAGTCGATTGCTGCTGGAGGAAAGTCAGAAAAATCTTGAACCTTAAATATTTTATAATCGTCTGAATGTTGGTTCAGGAAATGTAAAAAAAAGTTAACGAATAACCAACCTTGCCTTGTCATTTGAGGATTCCTCGACCTCGAGCATCTCTTGTATTAGTTTGTCAACAAATGTCAAAGCACAAATGTTATCCTCCGTAATCGCAAAATGCACAGCAAGGGCCTGCAAGATGGTGCCGTTGTAGCCCAGGGAGTTGGCGTGGGTGATGCGTGCACTCAATCTGGCGATCTGCAGCAAAACGGAAGGCACTGTTATGGCGAGAATCACACACAACACGTGATATATTACAGCAGACTCTTGATTATCCGCGCTAATGACGGGGAGGACAGCAGAGAATCCAAAAATATAACCATTTTCCACGGATCAGTGGCAAACACTTTCCTGCTCCCGCACAGAAGAGTCCGCCCACTAAGTGGATAGCACAGCCACACCAATCAACATCAATCAAACTCCGCCCATTGTTGTAAAGATATGCAACTACTGTACTGTAGAGGCGATCACGTGGATTTCGGATTAACCAGAGCACATATGTGCTTGGTTTAAGCACGTGACTTGTAATAAAACATTTCTAATAATATAAATGTATAACTGTTTTTACATGATGAATTTGGCCTTAAGGGAAAAATCCATGAGTTTCTAATTTATGTCAAAATCTCAGGTGCGCAGTTAATCAGCAAATCGGATAAACCGCAAGTGGATAATTGAAAGTCCACTGTATTATCATTACACTTGTTTACCCAGGAAAGTCTCCCCAATTCTCAATATTGTTTTTTTCAGAAGGGTCCTGCAGAAGCTTTCGCAGAAGGGGGTGATGCAGCTGCTCTGTGTAATCCCAATCAAATAACTTGCAGGGATTTTTTTCAGCAATCGGTTTGGCCAATACCCGTTAAGTTCCCGACTCGGACACCTCTCTGTGTGGAGTGTGTATGTTCTCCCTCCATTCTACATGGTTTTACTCTGGGTTCTCCAGTATTCTCCCATACAAAAAAAAGCCGTACAATGTAACTGTTAAAAGGCTGAGCATCCCAATGCTGAAAAACTACCTGCAAGTTACTCAATTGCGATTACACGCAACATTGCACCCCACTGAAAAGAAACATCACAATACCCTCCTGAATAAGAGGCTTGAGACCTGGCGAGCCCATACCCGGGTAAGCGCGCGTAACGTATTTCTACATGTAGATTGGATTTGAATAGATTTTATTTAAACACGCATCATCGGGTTAGACACATTTCCACTGCATTTACCTACGTGTTTAACATCAGCAGTGGCGGGGTAAGCGAGAGCCACCGGTGCGACCCTCATGGCACCACCATTGCCGAAGGAACCGCGCCCCTCAAACTGCTCAGCCGCCGGCGTGAATACATCGTCGCCAGCGTACGCGCGCTGCTGAAACTTCTCAAACACAGTCACCACGCCCGCCCCGTAGCCACGCAGTGGCTCCTTCTGGTATTCTTTGGCAAATCTGAAAAACAGAAAAGCGTCGCAATTAAAGCAAATACGCTCAATGCATTTGTCCATAATAATATTTAGTTAAAAACGACTCAAAATAATGTTGCAACTTATTTACACTGGGAATTATTCTTAATCATTATTACTTATTCTGTTTGCTTACCTAGGAAGCCCGACCTGAGTCTCAAGACTCTTTTCAGGAGGGGCCTGCCAAGTTTTCGCAGTAGGGGGCGATGTTGCTGCATGTAAGCCCATTTGAGTAATTTGCAGGTATTTTTTTAAGCATTGGGATGTTTGTCCAATAACAATTGCACTGCATGCTTCTTTTTTAGCTATGGAATGAATACATGCAGAACAGGGGGAGAACACACAGACTCCACACAGAAGGAACGAGTCAGGAATAGAATCCAGGCACTTTTTACTGAGAAGCAGGAATGTTACTACTGCACTGCTACTTTGCCGGAATTAAAATTTCAAGGGTAAAGCATGTTTTCTCGTGCAAAGAACATCAGCACGAAAATAAAAGTGCATCAACATGATGCACTCGTCTAATCAGTTATCTGCCAGGGTGGCTAGGAGATGGCAGTACACAAATTGACTGAATTAACCTCGTCGCTCTCACTGTAACATGCAATTTGACTGCAGTGATATATACAACACATGGATTACATCTGAAGAATCGAACATTCCCAATTTAGGAGTCACTCTCCCATTTGTTCAGGTGTCGGCTTCTAAATATTTGGAATTATTGTTGGAGCGGAGATAGGGATACAGAGAAAAATATCCATTTCCACGAGAAAATGTAGTCTTCTCCACCAAAGGGAGAACATAGATACCAGAGATGTGATAGAACTCCAAACTGGAGGTCAGTGGGTCAAATAGCTTACAAGGAGTGGATCATTGTAGAGTTGACCTTTTTAAGGTGCTCATCAGGTCAAATTCAACATTACAAGCCACAACTCCCCAAGCTACAGGAGCTAACAAGAATACATAAACATAATTGGAAACCTCTCCTTCAGAACTTTACAACCATGCAAAGGACACCACATATTCCAATTAAAAGTGAAGGATTATTTTGCAACAGAGTTTGGTGACCTTTGCTTTAATCCTGACCAAACGATCCAAAAATCTCGGTCGACTTTCAAAAACTAGGTCGTGTCTCTGCCTCTGTCTTCGTGTGCCAATTAGGGCATTAGTGTGTGTTGTCTTGTGATCATAGCAAGTTTCCGCCCATGCACTTGCTTTAATCACAGGCATTTTATGTTTAAACTCACAGATAGCGGAGCGGATTTGGAGTAATGTGGCGAGCTACTTCTCGTATCCATGTAAAAATTGCATGAGGAAGCCACTTTGCTATGCATTATAGGTAAAATATAATATTAAGATATAGGATCGTGAATAAGAGTTTTCACAGACTCTCCAGCTGCCATGAATAGAAATTTGGGGAAATAGGGCCATGGATATGACAGTTCTGTATTATCGCATCCCATATCGAAGATCAAGGGTCCGTACTGAAAGCCTCTGGGGAAAAAAAAATCTATTGGGAGTCTTAAACCGTGGAATTTCATGGGCGTTTCCAGTTAGCTCCAGCAATCATAAAAAAATATATATAGTGTGACCGGTGTGGATGGCTCCATTACCGTTGAGACATGTCTTGAGCATCGAACCGTCCGTTGTCGATGAGGGACTGTGCCACGGATCTCAGCATGGCAGTGTCATCCGTGTATAGAAAATCTACGATAAGGAAAAACATCTCAGCATGAACGAAAGAACACGAGACCAATTTGTATTATTTATGCACGTAAATCCAGAGCGGTGAAAGTGGCTCCCAGGAGTTGAGAAGCTTGCGACAAGCCAGAATCCAGCTCAAGAGGCCCGAGGAGAGAAAACGCTTGTCAACTTCAGCAAGTTGTGATTGCAGTAGGCTTCCAAATGCCGTAGATGAAAACATAGCATTTAAAAAAAATAAATGTGTGTGAATCGATCGAGCAGCATTCTTTTCATCGGCTGCGTAACGCTGTGTCAAAGTTACCTGGCCTGTGGCTCCATACGAAGCTTCAGGTCTTCTCGGCTAGTCATACCCTCCCTTCTCTATGCTTGCAAAACATGCACCACTTCGAAGGAACATCTGCGTCGGTTTTATACATTCAGGCTAGACTGATTATGATCCATTCTGAGTTTAACCAGACTGGATTGTGTAAGGAATTCACAGATCCTTGAAAGATCTGGACACAGCCCCATCAGTGAGCTCCTCTCGCAAACGAGGCTGCGTTTGCTGGGTCATGCAGCCCACACGCCCGGGCACCCCATGTCCAATCGGCTGCTGTTTGGCCGGGTGCAAAACGAATTCGGCAAAAAAAATGACTCAATATTTCAAGAGCCGCAATGCATGTGAATGCAAGATGGTCACGAAGCAGTGCGGCTCTGGAGCCACCGGTTGCTGACTCCTGCCCATGGTGATCTGAAATTCCATGGTGATCTGGACTTCCATGGTGATCTGGACTTCCATGGTGATCTGGACTTCCATGGTGATCTGGACTTCCATGGTCAGGGGTCGGCAATCAAAATAATAATTTGAGCCATTTCTGTTCGAATTTCAAGAGCCGAACTGCAGTCCTTCAAGAGCCGCATGTAGCCCCGGAGCCGCAGGTTGCCGGCCCCTAGGCTAGATGGACTGATATGGTACGGGAGGATGTGGAACCGAGTGGTTGCCGATGACCGGTACCAGTGGTGTCAAGATCGGTCTCTGTGGAGGAGGAGGATCGTTAAGGACACTGCTGGGCAGTTGGAGGCGGTCGCCCTACAACAACAACCAGCGACGACGATAATCGGAAGAGCCACTCTCACGAGCGGAGCGCCGGGCGGCTAAATATATATCAGCAAGTTCACACAGCAGGGGATTCAGGTGGCGAGACCCATAGCACCGGCTGGGTCAGCCACGTGACCATGCCGGCGAGCCTTCGACACTTCACGTGGCCCTTCAAGGTGCCACCTAGCCTGGCACAAACGCCGTGGTGGTGACGCCGCCGCCACGTATTGGCGAACGGCGGCTGTTAGGGTGCAGTGGGGTCGTGCGCCTCTCGTGTTGTGAGCGTTGTCTGTGTTTAGTTAAGGGAGCGGTGGTGCAGCGGTTAGCGCGCTGCGTTACAAACCACGCCGGACCAACAGAGTTCTATTCCCTCAACACGGCCTGACCAACACCGGCGACGATTTGACAACCGGTCCTGGGCCTCCCCTAGGTCGACTCGGCCTCAAATGAGTACCCCGGTGCGGTGTGTAGTTACACATAACCACTGGGAAGACAAAGGCGGCCGGGCGTGATTGCTGACCACCCTCACTTCCCTCTACGTGTCTTATCGGCCTTCAATCTGTGCTTGATACTCGCAAACAACACTTGCCGCAACAGTCTAGGGGGCCGCCCATAAATGACGTCACGCACCTGGGGGGGGGGTCAGACATTTGTGACGATGTGTGACGAGGGGGGGGTGGTTGAGAAATGTGACGTTACATCAAAATGCGCAACTTTAAATAAATGTAGCATTGTTATAACGACACTAATTGTTATAACACTCCTACAACATCAAGAGTGTAGCGCCACATTAAATACGCACTACAATGACAATAGTTTAAAGCGATTTGAAGCGTGTTTCATTTTCAAAATGGAAATATGGTTTTCGGGGGAGGGGGGGGCAGAGCTTTGTGACGTCACATTTGAGGAGAGGGGGGGGGTCTGACTTTGTGTGACGCAGTTGGGGGGGGTCAAAAGTCGTCCAGAATCGCGTGAAGTAATTTATGAACGCCCCCCCCCCCCCGCCACTATAATTATTACCGCCTACACCGGCTGTGGATCGTTGGTTGCCCACTGTGTCCCGCACCATCACTGCGTCGCAGGTGGAAGTTGCGGGCGTCCTTGGCGAGACCCGCGGGGCTCACCAAGCCGCGGCCCTCGTAGCGGGAGCCCACGACGTCCCCCAGCAGCGCGCCCAGCAGCGCGCCCTGGAAGCGGGGGGCGAGGCGCTCCAGGGCCGAGGCGGCGGGCGAGGCGCTCATGGGGCCCTGCTCAGAGACCACCACCACCCACCCACCACCCACCACCACACACACAACACACACCACGCACTCCTACCACGCGATGAGACCCCCAACACAGAGAGACCCCCCCCCCTCCACACAGAGAAAGCCCCCCACACAGAGAGACCCCGTTCACAATGAGACCCCGACACAGAGAGACCCCGTTCACAATGAGATCCCACAATGAGACCCCCACACAGAGAGAGAGACCCCCACACAATGAGACCCCACACACAGAGAGAGACCCCCACAAAGAGAGAGAAACCCCACACAGAGAGAGAGACCCCCACACAGAGATAAACCCCCACACAGAGATAAACCCCCACACAGAGAGACCCCCACACAATGAGACCCCCACACAATGAGACCCCCACACAGAGACAGAGACCCCCACACAATGAGACCCCCACACACAGAGAGAGACCCCCACACAGTCCAGCGTCTTTGCGCACGTGGTCGCCGTGTCGGCCAATGGGGAGGCCTCCGTGGCGTTGCTTCCCGTGACGAGCCGTGGAATCGATTCGCGATCTTAGAGGCGGAGTTCAGCGTCGATTCCCTCGCGCGCGCGAGCGTTGCGTGGACACAGTTCATAGTTCATTTATTTTGGTATAGCCCTGTGAGCCATTCGGCTCTTGAATCGGGTGCAACCGCAACAAACAAAAAGCATGAACAAGAAAACATCTTAAAGTGAGTATGTGACTCTGCAAACAGAAAATCCAGGACAAAAATATCAAAATATTCCTGAAATAGCACCGTACACCAACGCTGTGTGCAAAAATCCCAGTGGGATGCAAGTCAAATAACAACAACAACCACAAGACAACTAAGATTAAGGCCATCAGTCTAACTCCGTACTACAATAAACAAAAACATGGCCAAAACAAAAAAAAACGTTTTCGAAATCACCAAAATAAAAGCCATAAATCCAATGTAACAGTGATCATAGGGACTGTGACCGAATTTTTAACAATAAACTACATAAATAAATTATAACACCAAAATCTAGAGCCATATTTTAGGCCACTGAATAGCAGTGGCAGCTAGGGTTGTACAACTCCTCTAGAGCAGTTTTGAGTGAAGCTCTCAGGTAGTGATTCAAGTTGCAGTTTATTGGCAATAGCATTCCAGACCCTGGGGGCATCAATAGCAAAGGCCCTTCCTCCAGTTTTTGTACGGCAATAGGGAATGTGAAGCTGGTAAATGAGCGAAGACCTAAGGTCAAATTTGTTCTTTGAAACAGAGAGGAGATCCAGTAGGTAGTCTGCGGAATTTTTTGTAAGTACATCGTGAATAAATAAGATCTGGTGCACAAGCCGTCGAACATTAAGAGATGTTAAGTTTGACCCAATGTAGAGATCACAGTGGTGAGTCCTATATGGGCAGTTCAATGCAAATCTTAAGGCCGAGTGATAGATGGAATCAAGCTTCTTCAGTACAGTACTTGGGGCTGATTTATACACGATGTCACAGTAGTCAAGTAGAGGCAGTATGGTAGCTTTTATCAATTCCAAACGGAACATTGGGGGGAAGCAGTGCTTGTGTCGATACAGAAAAACAATTTTTATTTTTGTCTTTTTACCAATATAATCAATGTGATCTTCAAAACTAAGTTTTGAATCCAGGATGACCCCAAGATACTTATAGATCTTGACTTGCTCTATTTGATAATTATTCAAGAAATGTAATTGGGGAAAAATAACTTCCTGCTTTAGTCCCGGAGAGAAGCATAGCACCTTGGTTTTGGAGGTATTCAGGACTAGTTTAAGAGAAACTAGCTGATGTTGTAGTTTGTTGAAATCACCCTGGAGCTTAGCAATCACGTCATCCGGAGAGCGGCCAGCAGTAATCAGTATCGTGTCATCTGCAAAAAAATTTACCCTGAAATGATCCAGTTCAGTGCCCAAGTCATTGACATAAAGAGAGAACAAGAGGGGGCCGAGGATGGAACCCTGTGGAACCCCTTTTGTTATCTTAACACTGTTTGACCTCCAACCATCTGTGAATACAGTTTGGGTGCGAGAAAAGAGGTAATTTTTTAACCATTGTACTGTGTTCTCGGAAAAACCGAGGCAACTTAGTTTACTAAGCAGGGTGTTGTGGTCTACTGTATCAAAAGCTTTGGACAGGTCAAGAAAAAGACAGGCACAGTGCTGCTTATTATCAAGGCCATTGTAAATTTGATTCAAAGAGTCTAATGCAGCAGATGTGGTGCTGTATTTTTTCCGGAACCCAGATTGTTTTAGATGTAGTAGATTGTTGGTGGACAGGAAACTGCTAATTTGGTAGTTCAATAATTTTTCAACAATTTTCATCAATGGGGACAAAATTGAGATAGGTCGGTAGTTATTGGGATCATCTTTAGGGCCCCCTTTGTGAAGTGGACGGACATAGGAATGTTTCCATTCTAGAGGAACTGATGCTTCTTTGATGGACAGGTTGAAAATATGGGCTATAGGTTTGTATATTAGGTGACCAACAGTTAGTAGAGCAAAGACGGGAAAACTATCTGCTCCGGTAGAGATGGAACCTTTGAGGTAGGACAGTTGTTTCAGAACGTTACTTTCGTGGATTGGTTGGAAACTAAATTCGTTTAATGGTTGGACAGGGGTGTAGGAATTTGCAGGAGCAGGGGTGACTCCCAATACATTATCAAAAAGATTACCAGCTTCAGAAAAATGAAGGTTAAAATTGTCAACTATTTTTTAGGATCTCAAAAATATTCCCCATTTCGGTGAAGCTCAACAGGCAGATTTGCTGTTTTGGATGCCTTTTCGATAGATTTGATTGTTTTCCAAAAAATCCTGGCATTTCCATGTGATTCCAGGAGAGTGGAGGAAAAGTAGGCATTTTTTGCATGCCGTATTTTTTTACGCATCTATTCCTTAAAATCCTCTATTCTAGCCAGTCATTTACTAAATTACTTTTCTGAGCACATGCCCAAGCCTTGTCCCGGGGTCAAGGCACCGGTACATTTGCTGTAAAGGTCACAAGCGGCTCCTCTGCTGTGCAATGCTTTGCTCTTGTCACTGCTAGCGGTTGAGATCGCTCTATTCGATCGTTTGGCCTAATCTCTCGCTTAGGACCGGAAGCCAGGTAGGATTGCAGTGGTTCACGATGTGGCCCATAGCTGGGGTTGCATGGCGCGATTTTGGACGATTTTTGACCCCCATCCACCCCCCCCCCCCTTGTCACACGGCGTCACAAAAAGTCAGACCCCCCCCCATATTTCCATTTTGAAAATAAAACATGCTTCAAATCGCTTTAAACTATTGTCATTGTAGTGCGTATTTAATGTGGCACTGTACTCTGATGTTGTAGGAGTGTTGTTATAACAATTAGCGTTGTTATATCAATTCTATATGTATTTAAAGTTGCGTATTTTGATGTGACGTCACATTTCTCCCCCCCCCCCCCCTCGTCACACATCGTCACAAATGTCTGACCCCCCCCCCCCCCAGGTGCGTGACGTCATTTATGGACGGCCCCTTAATGTAGCTCAATGGGTCTCTATGTATCTCTTTATGCCTATACAGTATCTCTCTGAGGCTCTATGTATCGATGTGTCTTCATGGGCATTTATGGTTTACGATCTGGTCTATAGTTTGAGTTGTATGGCCACAATGGCTCGTCTGTAATTTGTTTCCCCATTTAGATTATACCGCAAGAGGGCGCCATTGTTACATTGTCACCATGAGTTGGCCCATTCGGCACGGGTACTCTGGTGCCAGACAGACGTGGCACTCCTTGGGGGGGCCGTCCATAAATGACGTCACGCACCTAGGGGGGTCAGACATTTGTGACGATGTGTGACGAGGGGGGGGGGTTGAGAAATGTGACGTCACGTAAAAATACGCAACTTTAAATAAATATAGACAAACACGTTCTACTTAATTAAATAGACTTTTTTTTTAAATAAATGTTTTCTCCTACAACATCAGAGTGCAGCTCCAAATTAAATACGCACTACAATGACAATAGTTTAAAGCGATTTGAAGCATGTTTTATTTTGGGGGGGGGGGGCAGAGCTTTGTGACGTCATATTTGAGGGGGGTCTGACTTTGTGACGCCGTGTGACGATGGGGGGGGGTGGTAAAAATTCGTCCAACATCGCGTGACGTCATTTATGGATGGTCCCCTTTGTTGAAACCGCTTACATCGTAGGATTGCCACTCAGGCGAGTGTCTCCACTCGCGCATGGCAGGTCCATGTAGATTCTACGCCCGGGTTTAAGTTTGCGAGCCACGTGATAAGTTTTGCGAGCAGCGCGACTGATCAACGCCGTCCAGTGCGCCAGAGAGCGGGCGTCGAAATTCAGCCGCCGTTCAGTGATGTGGCAAGGTGCGTGGTTTGGTTCAGGTGGCCGCAGTCACCACCGAGGGCTCGTCTGTGACGCCCCACGTGTGCACACTGCGAGCGGTCGCTCGTCTCAAGCGGCTCGACGGAGCCGGGGGGGGGGTCCTCAACGAGGTGTTAATGAGGAACCTCGCCAGAGCTCCACAGCGTTCGCCAGAATTCTTCAATTGTGGCCCCGCTTCGTCCAGTTGACTCGCACCATCCCAGATTGGTTTCCAGAATCTCAGAAGAGTTTGTGGAGGCTCGAGCAGGGCTTGGTGTAACGGGGGGGGGGGGGGAGTGGTGGGGGGGGGGTCTCTATGCTTCCTCGGATGTTCCATTCGGTTTGATGTCGAAGCATTCCAGCTGGCGTGTTGGCCAAAACGGGTAGCCACTCAGTGGGAGTGCATTTCAGTGTGCCCGCTATTTTCCTCAGACGCTGCTGATGGGGACATCAATTTCTTTGTGTGGGCGCTCAATGTGTGCATGTGTCACGTGTAACTCCGTCTCTCCGGTTTCAATCGATCCTAGACCATCTCATCATCACTTGAACTCTCAAGCGCTCATAATGAGCAAGGTCACTTTTTGCAACTCGTTTTGGAACCGCTCGTGAAAAGCTGTTGCATAGAAATAATATCTTTTATATACTCGCGGTAAAGTTGGTATACCAAATATTCAAAAAGATACTCG